CTGATTATCATCCTTCTGCTTGAAGAGAGAGAGGGTGAGATGTGCTTTCTGCTTCTCCTCACTCAGTACAATACACTCTTCAGGTCTCTATTTTAGATCAAAAGGGAGAAACAGAGGGAAAGTGAGAGATGGGTGCTCTCTAATTGGATGCTTAATTCCCTAACATTTTAAATGGATGTTGTCTCTTCTTGGCACAAGTGTCCCACATTTGGGCAGATGACCACCTTCTGGAGCCATTGTCTAATGCCTGTGAATATGTTCTGAAACCATTACTGCAGAGTACCCATCAAGGGGTTTCTTAGTGAGCTAAGAGAGGAGAACTATAAGCTAGGCAGGAAGGTGAGACACAGTTTTCAGAAAACACAGCTGGAGGGGGAATTCCGAGCAGAGAGAGAGCAAGCAACATCTCCTAGTCTTTGAGGCAATAAATACAGGTAGAAGTAAAGGCAAACATAGCTACAAATATTGCATAAATCATGTGTCTGGGACCTGGGGAGAATAAAAGGAGGGAAGTGGTGATTTTGGAAAGATCCCTGCACAGAACCCAGCTCCACCCTGGAATCACAGGGTGCTTGTAGCTGCTGGCCAGTTGTGGCAGCATTGTCTACCTGACTGCCAGATGTGCTGTGATCCAAGCCTTCATCAACTCACAGCACAGTGCATAATAGGTTTTGACTTGCGAGAAGTAAAAGAAGAAATCTCAATGAGATCTGTAGATCAAACAAGACATAATTAACTTCAGCTTTCCTCTTTCACACTGATCATCCCTACCATCCCTTTTCTTCCCTTTAGGCCAAATTGTAATATTTACCACTGTCCAAAGTAGGTCTTGGGGTGATATAGCACAGTATTTAGATTGTATTCGGAAAAATGTCTGACCATATGTTACTTCTACACTCTTTCCAGTGTTCTTTGGATGGATGGCAAAGGGAAAATACCTGTATTTTGATTTATAAAGTTCCCAATGAATTAACATTTTACCGTATTTATGTCAGTCTTCTTAAAGTCTGTGATGAAAAACACAGGACTGCACATTTTTATTGTCCTTTCTTTGTTCATAGGACAGGTTGAAGCACAATTCTTTCTTTAAAATGGCCTGTGGTACCAGTTCCTAATCTTAAAATGAGCTACTTTATGTGGCGGTGACTCATATGCATATCAAGTAGCAAGTGCTAACTGGGACAGGCCCACAGTGAGCACCGCTCCCTCTCTAGGAGGGCTGGGAAGGGGAGGCTCAGAGGAAGAGCTTAGGGGTGATTTCTGACACAAAAGAATGTGTAACCAAAGTTCATCTTTTATTTCAAAATACAAATTCAATATGAAGACGCAGTAGCATCTGCTGTACTGTCTGGTTCTACGTGTTGAGGAGCCTTTGATGAAAACAACACGCACTCTTTGTTGAAACTATAAACAAAAATCTGCCAACTTCTTTTGGACAGCAATGTTACACTGATTATGAATTAATTAAAAAAATTATTCTGATATGCCATGGGGAAATGTGTTCCTTTTATGGCCACAGGGTAGTTTGTGTTTTCTAAATTATTAGGTATTTATCCTGTTTAGTTAAAAATTTTTAGTATTGTTCAAAGACACAGTTATTCAAGGCTGAAAATAAAATGCTTCCTTTCATTTCTATTAAATTTGGACTTTGGAATTGCATTAGAGAGACGTATTTGAAAAATAGAACCCATTTTGATGTAAAAACACAGGTGTGGATAAAACCTCTGGATAGTAATCATGCACTTTTACTTCCTTTTTCTTAATAAGCCTATGATAAGAATAAAACCAGTTTTGAAAATACAAGTGTGACATACTGCTTTGAGATACAAAGTAACCATGTCTAATGATAGAAAGTAATGATTTTTTTTTAAACTGTAACTTGACATATTTGTCTTTATATACTATTCATTTTAACACTGTTTCCAGAATGCATTAAATATTTAATATGAAAATGCCCACATATTTATATGTAAAGATTTAGATCTAGTAATCCAAATCTACATAAAGCTGTTATCTAGAGCTGCAGCTTTCTAATTTATGTACATACATACACACCTATACGTACAAACAGGCAAATGCTTTTTTATATGGAGAGATAACTCTCAGATGTACAAACCAGCAAAATATTCCATATTATTGTTACAAAAAAGGAATTTAAGAGTCAACTGCTGTAAGGAATAAATGCTCTCTAATAAAAAACCCATATTTTTGTTAGAACTGAGTCTGCTGAAATGAAATAGCTGGGCTGTGAGAAATTAATCTAAGCAGTGAGATAAAATTTGCAGGTATTTACTTATTTCTTTACATCTCCAGCTTTTTTTAATGTACAGTAACACAAAAGATGAAGGTTAATAAAACAGGAAAACCTCACAAAGATTGCCTGTAAAGAAAACTCTCAGGAGGATAGCTATCTCAATCCTACTTATTTAAAGAAGTTTTTGTTGATTGTTTTAGAAGTATTTTGCCAAGGAGATTTAATACTGCTGTAGACCTTTCTACAGGAGCCACACCTGTGGAAATATAGATTTATATTCACCCTGTCGAGGGCCTTCAATATGTGTCAAATGAATCAGTGCCTGCAGGGCCCAACCTCCACAGCACATTTTTGCTGCACTTTGTACCCCCAGTTCTTCTGCCTCAGCTTCACTTGGGAACAACTTGTGGGGAGAAAAGCCAAGGACCAACACATGTCTGGAGCCCATGGCTTCTTGCCAGTTCAGGCTAGGAAACAGTTTGTGAAACTGTGAGTAAAGGCACAACTGTGCTCTATTAACGCGCCTCATGTTCAGTAGTGGTGTATTTAAACTGCAGATCCTCAGAGTACTTCCTAATTTGTGAGTACAAATATGTGAATAGAGCAAGATCCGGGAAGGAACAGGTTACCTTGCTGTCTTTCCCCAAATCCTGGTTTCCATGGCAAGAAACACAGACACAAAGACCAGAGAGAAGTCATGTCATATTGCTGACTATGGTCCTTAATACCAAGCAGGAGCATCAATGGATCATACCTGGGGGCTGTGGAGAGGAATACGTTTACCTTAGGGGCTGTGGAGAGGAATACGTTTACCTTAGGAATATGTATCCAAAACTAGATTTGGAATATCTATGAGCACCAATCTTGCTGATGGGATGTGATGGGAAGCAAAAAAGGCCTTGATGCTTTGTAAGCACAGCTCAGCAATAACTAAATCATTTCTGAGTTCCCAACATTGTTTTCAACAAAAGTGTAAAACATAGCCCTGTACTGGCTGCTATAAAGAAAATAAACTCTACCTCAGCCAAAACCAGAACAGACAAGTCAAGTAGATTCCGCTGTCTAAGGTAGCACTGGTTAATATTATAGTTATCCTTAATGACTTCTCATAGTGACTTCTCAACCTTGAATTCAACAGCAAGAGTACTGAACAGGTTTTGGTAAAAGATCCTTCTCTCTCTGCACTTCAGTTTCTTAACAGAAAAAATTCTCTTTATTCTCAAGCCACCCTTTAAAAAGTGTGGGCTCAAGGAACAGGCAAGCTATTAGTACTGGAAAGTTGGCTGAAGGTTTCCCATTCATCATCACTCATCTCCTCACCTCTGTTTCATTAAGTAGCTCTCATCGTTCTCACTTGACAGGAGTCAGCCTCCTTTATTATTTACCTTTCCATCTACATGTATGTTAAAAGTAGTAAATACTGAAATGATACACAGTGTATTAAAATAGGTGGTGCATGTTGCATACCTAATGGGGGCTCACTTGCAGCACTTGGCAGAAGAGCAAAGGTGATGAGACAGGTGGGACTGGCATCATTTCAACTTGAGAAAGGTGCTACAGTACTACAGCACTGGGTATTGGGTAAGCAGGCTGGTTGTGGCTGGGTTAAAGGAATGGAGGAGCACTCACTGGAAGTTAATATACATGCCAAGTACAATAATTCACTTTGTTCCATTGTGGATAGAAATGTAAAATGTAGGAAGTCCAGCACTATGCAAACATTTGGCACTTTGACGCTACATAAATGTATAAAATCAGAAATGATCATTAGTGAAATGGTAAGAAATGCCATTGAAAAGATGATATTGGCCAGAGGTGAAGGTGGCATTTATCCTGGTATTTAAAATATATATGTATGTTTTTATATGTTATTCTTATTCTCTTTTATATGTGCCTGCTTCAGCAAGGAAGACAGGTAGTTCCTAAATGCCACAACCTGGTCTAAATCAAGGAATCTTGCAGAGGTCCTCAGGGATTCCCTACGGTTCAGTCTGCTAGTTTAACTAGTTAAAAATGAGCTAGCAGACTAGTTAAAAATGAGCATATGAGTGTGTGTGTGTGTGTGTGTGTGTATAGAAATTCTACTTCTAAGATCATAAGGTGATTGTGGATTGTCTTTTAATCATGTTTCCCACCAAGCTATGAGGTCAATTCTTTCCAATGCAAGTGACAAAAGATATTTTGCACTACTTCCTCCATCAAGAACAGACTCTTGTCCTCACATGGGTGATGCTCATCAGTACCCATGTTTGTATTTAAGTAACAAGGATTTCAATGTTAACCTCTCTTGTTTAAGAGACAAAGAACAACCCAACATCTTAATTCTTTATCTGACTTATTCCTCAATGTGTTGAAAGGTCCAGTCCCATGCACTTGCTTTAACAAGTCTATTAACAGAGTCAAAATATCAGAAATAAAAATAGAAGTCTGTTACATTTCTTATGAGAGGGAAAGTAGCAAAGGTGTGTGTCACACAGCATGACAACAAGGCTGAGTTCAGAGCTGGGTTATTTTATTCATTTTATATTCATCTCATGCAAAGGGTATTTAAATATAATGCATCAGATGATAGCTTTTTTCCTGAAGTCAGAGAAAGGATCACAGCAAAAGAAATTCAGACTTTTTCTGGTATAATTAGCACAAAGGAATTAGTACTGATCTCCAGAAAAGTGCCCAAGCCCATCATTTAGTGCACACCCACAAAACTGCTGCTCAAAACCCATATTTGTTTGTGTTTTTTTTACAGACCCTGCTTGCCCTATGGAGTAAGAGGAATTACCCATCTGAGTAGAGGTAGGTGCCCAAGCTGCTTTACATCAGAGTCTGCTAGTTCTTGCCACCCCAAATGAGCTCTTACTGCACTGCCTTTGCCAAGGGGTTTAACTTTCCCTCAGCTCTAGCTGGGAGCAGAAGAAGCTCATAATTTGGGGCTGAAGACTTCAGGGAATCACTGAATGTTTTGATAATCTGAGCTTCTGTTTTTTTCTTTTTTGTTTTTTGTTGTTTTCCCTGAGGATTTGTCATTGTCAAAAGGCTGTGAGGCTTTAAATCACCCAGACCATTAAGAATGCTACCTACACTACCTACCCTTACATGTGGCTTTGGTTGGCAAGCACATCTGAGGTAAGTGTCTGTGCATTTGAATAGCCCATTGAATTCAGCAGGACATTCATCAAGTTAATGTGTATCTTCTTGCTGACCCAGATCTAAGCAAAGATATCCTACCAAGATTTTCTGTTCTTAAAATGATGACTGTACTACAGAACAGCATTGAGACATTTCCATTTTGCTTTTGTAGAAGTACATTGTAGCTTCCTCTGCTGCTGTCCACAGCTGGCATGTTTTTTACTATCTTATTTTTCCCTTGATGTTTATAATTCATTGATGTTACCTAAATTTGTAAGGTAATAAGGTTTTAAAAATAGCTAGAATTAAATTGCAATATTGTTCTGGGATGTCACTACAGCAGTTGACTCAGCAAAAGGCTGTTTCCCCAAATTCTAGAATTTGTGTTAGGAGAGCATTTATGGCTATATATAGGGATGTTCCTGGAACCATAGGAAATATGAAAGCACACAAAGAAATGCATAGAAATTAGAAAAATAGGTGATATAAGGACCAATAGTTGATATAAGGACCTCATCTTGCCATACTGTATGATCTTACTGAGTTTGTTATGATTTTGTAGCAGGAATGAGAGGAAAGAGCTACTTCTCATATTACAGGGAATTATTTTTTTTTAATGCATGGAATTAAGTTGCAGAGCAGTTTGCAGTAATGGAATCCAACAATATTCTTTGTTTGTGCTAGTAATTAGAAAGGCATGTGGTATCTACCTCTGTTTAAAACTATTTTTCCCAAAGAATGACTGAATTTGTTTCTCCCTCTTACACTGCAACATTGTTTTGTTTTACACCTTAGGAATGGACACATAGAGCGGTAGAGTCCAGAGGTAGAACTGGCCTTTGGTGACACTGCAGATATAAAACTGGATATCCTCAGCTTGCAGAACAGAATGTTTCTAACGTTTATATGTCTAAATGGGTTTATTGAAAACATAAGTAAAAGAAAATTGAATCTCACCTACAGTTTCTTCAGAATGGATAGGGTGGAGTGCAGATATTTAATTTTATGAAGTGAAATAGGGAGCCAGGGGTGTGTGTGTGTTTATATCAGGTGACTGCTTAATTTCTAGATGAAGTTTTCATAAGTTGTGATGAAAGAACAAAATATGATAATTACCACTTGAGAAAATTGTTTTTGTTTGTCTTTCACTACAAATATCTGTTAGAAGTGCTATGATTGAAAACATAGAAATTATTTTAGGATAGACATCAATTTCCACATCTTAGGGAACTTTGATTTAGAAAGTTTAGGTTCATAAAGTATCCTGAGTTGGAAGGGACCTCTGAGAATCTTGGTACACAGTTATCTCCTGTCTGTTGAGAGGGAAATGTCTATGGGTGTCTTGTGATGAATGTTTTGAGAACACTCAAAGAGAGTTTTTGAGCAAGGTGAGATTTTTGGTCAATCTTGTCCAAAATGCAGGAGAATCCCTATCCTTAAAGCTCAATTCTAAACTTAAAGTTTTATTGGTAGCAAGCATGCGTTTCTTGCGCTGATTGGCTGTTACTGCAGAAGGTGCCCATCAAGAGAGATGATGGTCACAGAAAGAGGGTTTTGAGTAGAGGGGCAGGAAACCCAGTTGTAACTCTGTAACATGGTGAAGAACATGATTAGTAAATTGGGTTTCAATTCTTGTAGATGGAGAACTCCTTTGTTCTAGATGGTTTGATCCATAGGCATAATCAGGTGCAATAATCCAAAGAATTTAAAACATCAAAGAAAAATTTGGTTGAACAAGTGACTGTTGTGTTTCTATTTCTGTCTTAGTCCAACAAACATCCCGCATTAAAATTTAGAAGACTCCAGGCTGCCAACTTATTTAAAGATAGACAGATACATTTCATCCAGGGAAAGGTTATAAAGGAAGGGAGTTATTAAAAGTAAATGTTCCACTTTTTTTTGCCATTGCTTCTTATTCATAAGTTATTCATTAACTTATAAAGTTAAAGTTTAGTGCTTTGTTCAGGCGAAGTATGAATGATGCTCTGAGGTGACAAGAGATGTCCTGACAGTCCTGACAGCTTAGTCCTGGATTTCATCTCCGTGCCTGTTGAAGCACATGACTCAGGAGACCAAATCTTCTGGGAATGTGTAAGCGTAGGCTTTGGCATAAAAGACAATATTCTGACATAAAATACTCACCTTCTATATTCTTTCTATGGCGTTCACCTTGGAGTTTAGTAAATGATTGTAGAGAAGCAGGCACTTGTAGCAGATGCAGGGCAGTAGCTTGGGCATGGACACAGAGTTCCTGCCTCAGCAACAGAAAAAGACAACCTTAAAAAGCACCGTGCTGAACCCTGCCAAAGGCACTGAGGGCTGAAGCAGCTGACAGAGAAATCTGATGAATAAGACTTAGTGCAACTAAATCTATTAGCAGACTGTGAGGTACCTAAACACCCTGACAGTGAAGGCTGCCCAAGCACTTCAGCTAAACAGATAGACACAATCTAATAGTTTGAGGAGTCTGGAGAAAATTATTTCACAGGCCGCCTGTGAAATTCAAGAACATAGGGTTGTGTTGCAAATCAGGTCTGGCTTAATTTAATGAACTGGTATTAACAAGCATCACATTCTGCATCTTTCACTGTCTCTCAGCTGAGTAGTATTCATTAAAAAGAATATATGCAAATTTTAGCAACATAAACAGAATTTCAAATAAGGGATAACACAAAAAACACTCAAGAAAGCTTTCTGTTTTCCCTTCAGGATGAGTTGTCTGTTTACTATATCCTATCCTCTAGTTTGTCCTTTAAAATGCTGGCACTGCATCAATTATAAAGAAAAGGCCACAACCTCACCACTCCAGCAAGGTTAATGGGAAGAACTTTCCCAGCGTTATCCCATAAAACAGGCCTTAGTGAGTGGATCAACTCATGTCTCCTCTGGGGTCAGGAGGAGCTTTGCCTCAAGGGCAAGGCTGCCCTCTCTGAAGCCAAATCTCTTCTAATACATCAAGAACACTTCATGGTAAAATAGAAGAGCAGATGCCATCTCCTTTTTGTGCTTCTCCAGGCAAAGTGTAAACCTCAGTGCACTCAGCAGTAAATTCCTTTAAACATTTACGCGAGCTAAAATTGCTGCATCCATTGACATTTACTCAATGTGCAGCACTTCATCCAACCACAGTTGCACATATTGGATGGGAAGCACAGGTGGAGTGCCTCTGCTATATGCCTGAGTTTAGTCTTTTTTTGTATATGATGCTCTGCTTCCTCTTTCTTTCCTTTTAGTTTTGTTAGCTGAGTCTCATCCATTGTCTCTTCCACAGCCTGTGAGGGTTGTTGCGGTAATAGATCCCCTTTCTGATGAATGAATGAGAGTTCCACTGCATTTGCCTTCTTCTTTTTTTATTTTTTTTTATTTTTAATATTTTAAATTGTATTGATGAATTAAGAGTTTAGGCACCCATCCCCACAGCAGTTAGTAATCACAAACTGTTGTCTTCAAATAGCAAGAATAATAACTGAGAGAAACAAACCTACAATATCCCAGGTCCTGAGAAAACAAGATTTGTGGAGGATTTAATAGGAAAAACAATGCCTGTGGGAGATGACACACTTGCAGCTCTGGAGGCAGTAGTCCTCTGATGGCATGGCAGAAAACAGGAGCAACAACCTCAAAGCACAACCCCTGTTGGCAAGCTGCCATAAACGAACTTGTAGTCATGGACCTTGAGGACAAAAGGACTTACAGTTCTCGTATGTTTTAGGCCCCAGTCCAAATGAGCTCTGACCTCCTCCTGCATTGAGGGAAGTCAGCAGCATTATTCTGCAACCATGACCAGAATGCATGCTTAGAAGTGCGAAATGGAATGTATCTTACCAACTGGAGGCAAGAGAGGATGAGGAAGGGAAAAGAAGCAGGATGTACAAATTTTATAGACAGCTGAAACAAAGCTTTGGCCTTGATTTTTCCTCAGTTAAAAATATTGGATGTTTTAAATCTTTTCTTTTGTGATTTATTTGGCAAATATTAATTCATCAGTGCATTTCATTAAATGGTAGATTGTACATAATTTTATTTTGCCAAATGAGAATTGGAGAAAAGTAGAAACTTAAGCTTAAAAACCATTCTTGTTGTTTAGGTGTATAATTCTTTCTCCTGCTTTGCATGCCTGGAACTAATGTGGCATTAAGTATATTCTAATTTTAAAGAATTTAATACATGCATAATCTGCTTTACAAGAAGAGATTAGATTTTTTCATATTAAAATAAATTGGGACAACTGAGAAGCATAACTTAAGGCATATTCATTTGAACAAAATAGGCAAAATCTTTCATTTTTAAATGTTGTTTTTAAAGCATTGATATACTGTAGTTTAAAGAATATTGTGTGAGGCTTTCATAGTAAAGGATTCCAATGTTCAGTGATTTGAAAAGAAAAACTACAGCAATACAATTGAATCTCTGGGTAAGCTTGTATTTCTCTATGTATTGATGGTTTCAGTGTTTTAAAACACAGAAATGAATGTTTATATACAGTTCAGAACACCTGACACTGCAGAATTATTTGTTGAAGGCAAGAACAAAATAATATTTGTGAGATTTTCAGAAATATTTAATATTTTAAAATGCCTTCATTTTGGATTTGAGGTTGTAGCTGGATGTGATTCTCAGCAAGGGGGCAGAGTACTTACCTCTGAAATTAAGTTCCCTTAGAAAATTATATCAAGTTCAGCATCCAAAAAGTGGGGCATGGAGGGAGTGGTGATACATCTCAAGGAAATTTTAGAAGTGCTTCACAGCCTCCACTGTCCCCAACATATCCTTTTGTTCTCTCTCTCAGTAACAGAAGTCAGTATTAAAGTTTATGAGGAGAAAATAATTTTTCAGACATCAGAACTGATCTGTTCTTTTGCTGCAGAACATGGGTAAATCCTGCCAGGTTCTGAATAGGTATGACATTTCAAGATTTAAATAGTAAGGCTATATCAGGCAGCTGGAATACATGGGGACTTCCTTCAAAAGCTCATAAAATTGTAGTCAAAATAAAAACCATGTTCCTTTCTAAGATTAATTTTAAAATATTTGGTCTTTGGTGTTGGAGTGAATCTCAAGGTGGTACTAAAGGACTTTCAGTCGGCTTGGGAGCCTTTTACAGTGTGTACCATTTTATTTGCACCATATCTCTTTTATCAAATTAACATTAAAAAAGCTGTCACAACAATTTCACATACTTTTCACCTAGGCGACCTTCCCTGGAGTAGATCTTGGCCAAGGAATAATATTACAGGCCTATCCTGTTTCTACTGATGTCCTTTACAGACTTGCAAGTAAATACACTTGTTTCTATCTCTCAGAAGTCATAAACAAGAACCTGACCTGACTCTCCCTCACACACACACACTCGTGCCTAAAGGCACATCTACATACAGATTGCAAGTGTTTATGCCTCAGCAAAGTCACACCCAGAACACTATCTGGCGTCCTGATTTTTTTCCCTATAAAAAGGCTATGAAATTCATGCAAGATTTGTTATGGAAACAGCCTTGCGTGTGTTTCCTTCCCTGCTGTTTGATTGCTTTTGTGGCATACACTTGTAATATCACCTTGTTTGGGCCTAATATGGGAGAATTTTGGATGCAAAGCAGATTTCCTACTATATCTTCTTCCTATGAAGCTCGATCCCACTCCTCATTTTTTTCCCCCTACCATTTCACAAAGGAAAGGCTCTTCCTTTTTTCCACTCTATTAAAAAACTCATTACCAAGCAGACAGGATGTGAGAGCTGGCTCTTTCCAGTTTGGGCACAGTAGGATCTGCATGTAATGGCAAGAAGAGGTAAAAGGCTGAAAGAGGCAGAGGCAGCCCTGAGGCATATGCTCAGTACTGCAGGGTCCCTGGCAGCCCTTTTCCTGCCTTGGGGACCCCCAGCCTGATGCCCACAAGGTGACAGAGAGCACCCACCTGATGCTGTCCCTGACTGCTGAATTCAGCAGGGGGCTCATGGAAGGAGCATCTCTAACAGGGCTCCACAAGGCTGCTTCAGGTGTTTGTCAGTCCCACATGCTGCAGTGTGGGGTATGATGCCAGATCACCGCAGGCCAACAAATGATAAAATATCTTCAAATGACAGGGCAGGGTTTCTTTGATACTGACAAACAGGGAGTTGGTTAGCAGTGCTGAGCAGTCTCCAGGCCATTACTCCCCAGGACTTTTGCAGCTCTCCAGGAGGCAAGGGAAGCAAGAGCCAGAAGTAGGCAGAGGCGGTCCTTTAGTACCAGAGTCAAGCTGAGTACCTGCTACACAACTCTTTTATATTTGATGTGTACTTAAATCTTATAGTGCATTTAGTTTGCCAAATAGTCAGGTGCTCATGATCTTCCCTGCAACTGAACCTGTATTTCAGTAGGGAAGTATAATTTTCCAAAGATGAATAGTTGTCTACTGTGCAGCAGCTGGTATCAAAATGTCTGGGTTTCCATCTGATTTTCATGAAGTGGGGATATGCTTTTGTTTTTAGTCTTTTGTGTAGAGAGTACACATTTCAAAAAGTGGTCACCACCACAGATTGTCCTCCAGATCTCATCATCCAGCACATAAAATAACTGCCTGCAGAAAAAGGGTGCTTGGTTTCCCCATGGCAGATTTGTGTTTGTCCGGTGAGCATCCAAATTGTGCACACCCCTGGCAGAGGAGATTTTGGAACAGGGTAACCTTCTGGCTACATCCACCGGCTTGGGGGTTAATGTTCGTAGACATGTTTTTAAAGGGATGCTTCTCTGGACAGAGGTGGGCACAAACTATGCCCAAAGGAAAATGGGGGCTTCAATGGGTGCTAAAATGGGTGCTCTGCTGACCATAACCTTTCTAAAATGGGTACTTTTTCCTAATTATACTTTTTATTATACTTTAACCGAGAAGCACTTTCTCTCTCTTAAACAAAAAAGAGCAATTTGATAGAGAAGTGCAGAGGTGGTATATCCCTTTGAATAGTCTGTTCTGAATAAATCAGGTGAGAAATTTGGGAGAGTCAGTAAGTGGATTAGTTGCCATACAGAAAGCTAATCCTGCTGGTATCTCAGACACATTCTTCACTCCTCCATGAAGCACTTCTCTTTAAAACAAGTTAGTCAAAGTTTATGTATAAGTATAGTATCCATATTCCCATTCAATTATGTGAGTCATCTCCACAGGTTAAACAGAAGATGCAGATATTCCAGTCTGTTTTGTAATTCAAATCATTTGTATGCATTGGGTAATGTGATTTATAACCATATTTGCACTTTGAAATAAAAAAGGGATTCAGAAAGGAGACACTAACACCTCTTTAAATATATTGCTTTATTGTTCACCCTGAAGCCACTTGACCTGTGCAATACCAGGTTCTTTACCTATACAAATAAATTTAAGGCTTAATCCTTAATAACATATACTGCAAATGTTCAAGAGCTGCTTAAGTTACCAAATTAGTATTAGGAGAGAAAGAAGAACAGCCTGCTCCAGCAACAACAACAAAAATAAATGACCTGCTTTAATTTAAAGTATTCTTAGGAGAGGAGGTATTTTTATTAAGAGAAAAAAAAAAAAAAACGGAAAAAAATAAGGTATTCAAAATAAACCAATACATTGCTTTGAATTATATTTATAAAATATTAAGCTGTCTGCTAGAATGGAAAAAATATAACATTTTTATTAGACATACTTATAAATCATTGTCAAAATGTTTATAGGAGCTTGTGGTAAACATAATTTATATTTACACCAAGCAAACAGTTGTTGCCATATTAATTTTTTTATTATTAGTAAAATGACTATTACCTCCAAAATCTTACTTAAATCAGAAATGAATACATTTCCTAGACATATCTATGCAATTATTATTCCAAATCCAGACAGTGTTCTTGTATTTCTTTACTGGCTTTTTAATGGACTTTTTTCCATCTAGAATTACTGGGTTTTGGGATGCAGATTGGAATAAAGCAGCAACATAAGACTGCTACATCCTGCATTCTTTTAATTAAAAATCAGATTATTATTGTAGCCAATGAGAACTTAGAGTAACTTTATAAAATAAAATTTAGCTATCACATCAAAAAAGGTGCTGCACAAGAACTAAACTTATTGGCATTTGAATTCGTATGGTTGCTTTTGAAAAAAGCTTTAAAACACAGAAGCCATTCACATGCATCCATACATGTGTGCTTTCTGAACCTGAAAAGATTTTTTTCATAATGCCATGTCGTCATTTCCTTTTGAATACTAACTTGTTATCCCATCACTAGAACTACTTCTTCAAAACTTGACTTTAAATTTAAATAAAAATGTTCCTAAAAAAAAGCTGTATGTCCACATCTAGTAAAGATAATGGATATTTCCAAAATGAGTCCCTTAAATAAAACATTTCTATAGTGTTCATATAGCACTATGTATGCAAATAGATATAATAAAAAATATACGCGTTATTAGTACCAGAGGCAAAATATGGTTTTGATACACTTTGTGCATGAGAAGTACTTGAATATAGGACATTACATTGTCTGAGCTGTTTATGGAAGTTTTTCATATTGATACAATGGTTTGATTGCAAATCTGGGAGAGGCTTAACATCTACAATGAATTGTGCTGAAAATAAATAAAACACAAAACACGTAAAAGCTGTTTATCAGAAAAAGTACTTTCATTGGCAAAAGTCCTCCAAATCTTTTCCCTCCATAATCTTCGTTTTACATTCCTCTTAGTGAAATATCCCATATAACGGAAAATATTGTTTGTGACCCACAGATATCCCATTCTCTACTTAAAAATTCAAATATCTTAAGTGATATTTGAGCTTCCAAAAAAGTATTTATAAAATATCACAGAGATCAGATCAAGTGTTTGTTTTTGAGTAATTATGACCTATTTTGAATACCTATAGACTGTTTATTTCTAAAAAAGCTATACAATATCTTAATCATTAAAAACGTGCATATTTGCTGCTCACTTTTTACATCTGCTTTACCAAATAATTTAAGTTCTAGCTGTAATGAGAAAACAGTATTTTGAATATAAGGGAACACCTAGGGAAGGAATCCGGCCTTAGTTACAGCATTTATAAAGCTACGGATAATTATTTTGAAAACAGTGATTAATAAGAGTCCATTTTCATGTCATCATTGGTAATAGATGCTATCTCACTCAGGCACCCTGCCATTCTGTTTAATACAAGTGTATCCTAGTGTAAAAGGGAGCTTGTCATACTTATCTCTAATGGTGAATGATTTCTCTCCCTCTTCCTGAAGACACTTTGCACCCAATATTCTCAAATCCTATCATGGTACAGCCTGACAAATAAGCTAACAACAATGCAGGTGGCAGGCTACATTTATGTGTAGGTGTATGTTCTCTAGAAGATATGCAGAAGATAACTGAATCTTTTTTTACTTGTGAATTGGACAAAATACACATAGGAAGAAATGTGCTTATGGAAAGAGGTGCAAAATTTTTACATTTCAATAAAATATCACGCTCTGACAGGACAATATGCTTCAAATAATCATTGCATTTTCAGAAGGTGGCAGAAAATTAAGCACTGTTTTTTGTAATTACTGCTGAAATTCTTCAAAATGCAAAAGCAGAAAGGACCTGTCATTATACCAGTGTTGCAATTACTGCCTGTAACTTCAGCTTGGTTTCACATATTTCTCTCCTTTCTATGTTTAATTCTATTTTCAAGCAACTGTACTGTATGAAACCAACAACAATTTGTCCTGATTCATGGTTTAGGAGGAACAGCTGATTAATCCCATGTCAACAGTCTTGACCCTATGCAGAAAATACAAACACAGAAGATCTGCTTAACAATATATCAAAGGTACAATTCCCTGTATTTTCTCCTTTATAAAATTATAAATCACATGCAAATGCATAGTAAGTTAGGACAGTGTAGCTTAGTCATTATCACTTTTATCCTTTTATCTTACACAGTGATTTTTTTTTTCTTTTAAACATTTCAGTGTCAAGCAACCAGCGTGTCACCATCATGTTTTTCTGTATGTCATCCGGACACAAAAAGGACTGTATGCATTTGTTCATTGGTTTAGGCTCATCTGCCCCTGAACTGAGAGACCTGTACAGCACAGCAATCCCATAAAGCAAAAACACCTTGATTCTTTCCATAAAATGCTTAACTGTCACGGCTCAGTGCTGTAAGTGCTGACTCATGTGAGTAGGCTTTACTCTTCCGAGAAGACTTATTAGCTTCAGTCCGACCATTTATCCTAACGAGAGCTTTCAGATTTGGGTCCTTCCAGAAAGGTGGTCAAAGATTATCTTTTCAGGGTGTAAGATTTATACAGGATATCCTTTTCAGTCCTTAACATTCAAAAGGTTTCCAGTCATCCCACAAACGTGCATACTAAAAAAAACCAATTCCTCCACTTATGCTTCTGTTAAAGTATGAACATACAATACCTGGTTTATATTAGTCTATCTAAAATTGCTGGGTAAACTGGGTGAAATAAAATATATATAACAGTCTTTTAAAATGTGATCAAGGCAAGAGAGAACAGAGCATTTCCATTTTTAGTAGTGAAGAACAGTGACTCTTCCAAGGCAGTTTGGAAATACTAATGAAATTTTAAGGTCTTCTTTTCTATATGGTACCTCCAGAAAATAATGTGTTCTTTATTATTGTAAGGCATACACTGCCAGGTAAAGGGTAAAAAAAAGAAAAAAAAAAGGAAGAAGAAGAAAAAAAAAGGCAAAAAAATGTACATAACATAACTAAATAAAACCAAAATCTGTGGAAATCTTCTCATGTAAACTGCATAATAGCACTTCAAATGGCCCCTTTCTGTCATCCACTGTAACCATCACATTCCCATTTCTGCTGCAGTCAGGTGAACTGTCAAAGGGCTATTACGGTTGGCTGCATAGAATTCCAAGGAAAGACAAATCTGTGCAATTTTCTCCTTGGACAATAAATGGTTTTTTTGGCGTAACTAGGTTTTCCTAAACAATTTTGGTAAAGGAAAAAAAGAGTTTTTCATTTTTTTTCCATATTTTTGCATGTATGCGGTAATGCAAGGGGCTTTATTTGGGCTGAAACCTTTACTATGAATGTGTATCCCTTTGATGGATGCACATTAGCATTCCAGTATGTGGGTAAGATTTATGTATATTTTTTCTTTTTGTGATGCATAATACAGCTTCAAGTAGATACTTACAATTGTACTATGGCATGTTATATTTTAGTGTGTGTTTTTGCACTGTTAAAAGAATTGATGCACATCAAGTGAAATTACGAAATGTGTACACAAATTCAAAAAATCCTCCAATCTACTATTTAAAAGTAGTAGCAATGCTAAAATAATAAATGCATTTAGTCTTTTATGTCTGTTTAAAATACTGCATGCTCAGAAGTGAATACATTATTGTGATATGTAATACCACATCTTCTGATAAGGCTTATCTCATAAATAAAAAAGACGTATAAATGACATGTTTCTAAACGTTTTTTTCTTCAGAGGCAACTATTTTGTCCATTCTGGTGAGGTATGTTATATAAGCAAAATGAGAGTTTGATTATGTCTTTCATGTAGTTAATAAACATGTGGTTGTCAGAAACCACAAAGAGGTTTCTTGCTGGTTGTTTTCATCTTCTATAAAAAATTAAGGTGTTTCAGAACTGACCTTTTCTCAGTTGAGTCATCTCCCTTATTTTTCAGTTCAATTTGCCTTACTGATCAGAAGCATAAGCCAGAATTCTCATATACTCAGAAATGAGGGCAAAAGACAAATGATACCTTTAATTTTTTTAAGTTGTATTTTTAAAATTTCTTTTGTACATGATTTTATTAAAATTTGAACCTGTTCAAATTAAAAAAAAAAAAGCAGTCATGGATTTTAATTATAATTCTTGCTTCATCACTGAATTTCCTCAGCAATTGCCTGCTTTTCATCTCTCTAAGTAGTAATTGTTAAATAAGACACTCTTTATATTTAATTCAGTGCTATATTAAGAGTAGAAATTCAATTGCACTCATTGGATTTACTTTTAAAAAAAAATTAGATTTTAATTTGGTACCTCTTCAGGAAATCCTTTGTTTACTATATTCCACATGTGTATAACTGCATCTCCCTGGATAGTGTTAAGGGTATAGTTCCACAAACAAGTTTATCATACACGGGAACATTCCCTGCTCCAAACTGTTTACCTTTATGATAAAAACTTCTGTTTTGAAGCATTGTCATAGCATTCCTGAAAAATAAACCAACATGATGCAGACTAGTCAAAGAGATCCCAGCCCTTAGTTAGAGAGCTTTCCTCTGCTGTTTTCGATAGCATTACACGGGAAGGGTTTATTCTGTGTGGTAATCTGAGGATTCTTCCTGCTTTTATTTTCTCCATGGAGGATGTAGCATCTATAAAGATACTGAAAATATTTTTTTTCTTTTCTTTTTTTTTTTTTTCTTACAGATAGCTCAGTTTGCAGAATGCTGTTTGCCAGCTTGTTTGTTTCTGTGTTTTGTTTATAAGCAGAATAAACACATTCATTTCTATGTATCAGCTAGGCTGGACAAATCAAGGTGACAATCCGTGGTTAACTCTGTCAGGCCCTTTGTCCTGCTCTTCTGAGGATTGAAGTACAATGGAAACAAAGTGGAATATATAACCGTCCAGCTGCCTTGTTGTGACAGTGTGGCCTCATATTACAGTGCCTCAGCCCCTGTTTGCCTCTCGATAGCCAGCCCATGAGATGACAATGCAAATCATGTGAAAGCTCTGCTGCAAAATAAAAAAATCATTTCCAGAGGGGGGGAAAATAGATCAGGCTTGCCTGAAAAATAGAAACACATTAAAGGCTCTGGTTTTGGTACAACTGCTAAATTTAGATGCAGAGCCTGTGTTTTTAACCATGGCGTATTTGTAAGGGGTACAGGTAGGCTCATGTGTTTAAATCTATCATTTGGTGTCTGCTTACAGGACTCTTCATTGATGTTACTTTAAAGGCAGTTTATATTTCATTTAAGCATGCAATTAATCATCTTTACAGTGCTGATGTGACTGGCATCAGCAGTGTTATTTAATTAAATCTGAAATTATTTTACAGTAAATACAGGCTTCCAACTAACCAGTCCAAATTAAATGCTGAGGTCTATTTCTTACCCATGGTGTTTCCAATTTAAATGTTCATCCAAAAGGTTACACTTCATGGGTTGAAATCATTTTTATGTTCTAACTGTTGCTAAACCCAAAGATCAACTGTACGTGAGTCCTGTGCATTTATTAGCCGTAAGAATGTGTACACATTATCTATATTTCTCATATTCCATTTCATATTAGTGATTTTATGACTGATGCTCCTTAAGCACCATTTTTCTCCTGATACTTTGTCTCTCCTGTCACATCAGCCCAGGGCTCCTTCCACAAAAAAAAAAAAAAAAAGAAATCTTTCCTCCATTTTGTTTCAGTGTGGTAATCAAGCAATTAGCCCACAAAATGGAGGTACTCCGCTCCTCATCCTGCATCTTACTTCTGGTGGGGTTTACCTGCATGCAAGCAGCAGGCACAGCACTTTGCTGCTGAGCCTGTGAAATTGGCCCCTGAAGAGCATTCACACGATGGTCCATAAGTGGCCACTGCTTAGGGGGACTCTGGGAGGAGGGAGACCTTCCCAGTGGGATCACTGGAGAATTACGTACAGCACGTGCTCTACCTGCAAATTCTGCACTGGCTACATGAGAAAATGTGTGGCCGTGCTCCTTCCCCTGCAGTACTCACTCCCCAATTTTATAATGACCTGAAAACATGCACTGAGCCAAACTTTAAATGGTGGGAACATCATTGCTTTTCACCATATATTGTCTTTCAAAAAGGAAAGAAAAGAAAAAGAAGAAACCAAACCAAACCAAACCAACAGCACCATTTGTTTTATGTTACAGCTTTCCACAGACAATTCACAACATGTCTAGCAAGGAATCAGACCAGAAATACTGTCTTACTCCTATCATATATATAATACAGCTTTTGAATACTGGAAAATCTGTCATCCGTTAAGTGCAGCTCAGGTCTTCTGTGTGAAAAGCACAAGCCTTTTTTTTTTTTTTAATGCAGTGCTGCCGTGTCTGCACTTTTTTGAAATTGCATATTTATCAGGTTATGAATAATTTATGAGTGGGGAAGGGAGGGGGAGGGATGGAAGGGGAAGGAAGAGTGAGAAAACATATGCTTGGGCAGAGGAATACCTTAAATGAATCCACTATCAAGTCTTTTGAAGGATTACTTGTAATTACATAATTTTTTTCTTTTTGTTTTGTTTCTCTTATGCTTCTCTTGATCATCTGCTGTTCCTATTGTCTTGTCCACTGGGTTTATTTTAGGGAGCACGAAGGGATTGAGGATAGTGCTTGCTATGAGTTGGAAGATATTGCTGCGGAAATGAATTGAGCATTTCTTTGACTTCTAAAGTACGGGGTGTTTAATAAATATTAATCCTTCAACTGTCAGACTGAATTATTGTCAAAAAAAGGCTGACAGATTGAGGATTAATGACATGCTTCATAAATTAGAAATGAACTATCAGCAGAATGTCCAAAGTAGGGATCAAGAACAGACCTGATTTGTACCTTAGACCAGTTGAACATGTCATCTATGTAGGACCTGAGCTCAGACCTATGTACAAAACAAAACCAGCCCTCCCTCCTGCAAACACACCTTCATGAACCAGGATCTGACATCTAGATCCTTTCTTCTTCAGGATCTGCAAGCACTGAAATAGCAAGACTGTCTCAGACGCCAGATAATTTGATTACAGTCAGATCCGTAACCTTTTTTTTTTGCAGTTTCGTTAGAGGGAAATTGAGGGAGGTACAGTAATTTCTGTTCAAATCTCTCCATGTCGTATTTTCCCACTATGAAAAACGCAACATCACAGAAAGATGAAGACCTAGCATTATAATGGGAAATTGTAAAAATGGTAGCTGCCTCTTCAAAAACACACAGAATTTCCAATATAAATTATGTATTAAAGGAAATATGTTTGTATAAAACAAGTAGCAGTAATTTAATATAAGGTGACAGGATTTTTAGGAGAGGCTAATGTGTGTCAAAAAATATCGTGTACAGTCTTTAATCAAACTCATGATCCTCAGTTGAATTATTGCTCGTAAAGCTGATTTTACTGTATTTTCTAATTCATTAAAGGCCAATCTCTTTCTCTCTCTTTCTTCCCCTCTTTTTTCCTCTAGTGGTTATTAGAGGAAAATTAAATTTAGTTTGTGTATAGACCAGATCTTTTTGGGGTGCCTAAATCAAAAAAGCAGTTATTTGGGGTGCCATTCTTTCTCTCAGCACAGAGGTACACAATATGAAACTGGGCTACCAGAGTGTATAAAAATGTTTAGCTTAATCACTCCCTAATGACAGCGACTTATGTCCTTAGTGCAGTCGATTTGTTTCCTGGGTTTTAAAAGTAGATTATTTCCATGGTGCAGGCTTAGTGTAAGCTGTTGAGAAACCACAAGCACTGCACTTCAGCCTGAGTTTGGGACGTTCGCCAAGGGTAATCTGATTAAAAGGGCATTTTTTACAACATTGTGGTGCTTTGAAAATTCTGTGCAGCCAGATAGAGTAGGGCCAAAAAAAAATTGCTTTTTCAAAGCTAACAGTTT